AAGGACTTCTTCATGACAGAAAGGAGAAATGAGATTACTCACCACTAACTTTGGTTCTTTGTAAATTCACACTCAAAGATTCAATAAGGCTAGAAGAAAATTTCCAGAAGCTCCCGGGCAGTGGTGGCCATGGATGCCCTTGCCCTTCACCCCATTGTCAGAGGGTGACCAAAACTATGGAGTCCTGGCTTCCTCTCAGCTCCTTCCACTAATTCAAAAATCCAAACAGAAAGCCAGAAGTAGCACTGAAAAGGATGGGATTTGTGTACAACAGGGGCTCACTCCACAAAACTGTAATGCCTACGTTGTTTCATGTGGGCTGGGAAGGATTAAGTACTCTTGACAAACCTGGGGAGCAGAACTACCAAAACAAGCGTCCGTTTTGGATCGTATTCAAGAAAAGAAAAGAGCTAAAGGAGGCAAGTGGATTTTTCATTTGTCCCAAACATGTTTTAAAGAGAAATAAATAATATTTGTTTTGTCTTCTGCTTGTCTTCTGTATAGCCATTGAAAGCAACAAGGAGCTTTTCTTTAAAGTTGCATTGGACAGGGCTGAAATCTCTGACACATGTAGGACTTCAACCACACAGAGGGTCAGGAGAATTATGAACCGTAATATGCTTTACAGGAATCACATTTGCACCATGACAAACAGAGTCCTCTGGTATCAGACAGATTTTTCCAAAGGTTTAGAGAAATAGCTTCTGACACCCCACAAAGAGTGGCCAAACTTTCTGATCAGATAAAATATGATATTTTCTTCCCTGAACATGAGCACAGTTGGGTTTCGCAGTTGGCTCACACAATATAGGACAGTGCTAATGCCAGAAGGGTGGTCCCACTAGCAGTCATGCTCCTGGCAATTTAAGTCCTGGCTGAAAATTATATTTCACTTCAATTCATGCAGGGTTAATTTTCAGCTTGATCAGAGAACTTTGTGATTGCCAGTGTCAACACAAAGAAAGAGGTTGTATCCTGCAGACAGGTCAGGGAGAGAGAAGAAAATTGTCCTTTTCCCTTACAGTTAATTCAAAAATTAGCTTACAGCGATCTCGAAACTACAGGCTGAGGCACAACACAAACTTATGGTCTGAAAGTCCACATCCCTCTAGACACATGGCATGGAGGTGCCAGCAGAACCATCGTCAGGGTGCAATTTGAAGGAGATGGTCAGGCTTATAACTTAAAAATCTGGAAGGCTCTGAGGATGGCTTCATAGCACAAAAATGGGGCAATACAGAATCTGCCCTACACCTCTATAAACTTTAGAAAAACAAACATGTGTACAAAGTGAATAGCCATAAGATTCTTTTGCCATATTTTCAGCACACCACATTCATTCTCTTTTTCTGTATCAGTGACAAAGAAGCAAGGACCTCAAGCACTTATAGAGCTATACAGAGCAATCCTCTTATAGATAAGACCATTCCTAGGAGAGAAGGAATGCTGATCTGTGCATTAGAGGCTGAACAGAGATGACAACCATATGGCACTTGGCAGAAGTCAGGGGTTTGTTTGTTGCTTTTTCAGTATCCCAAATGTAATGAATTATAAAATAGAGCCTAAATTAATAGTCAAGGAGGACTTTATCAGGGCCCCGCACTTAGGAGATGTTCATCTGGGAGAATCTCTTTCAACTCATAGGCTGTTTGACTTGATCAAAGGTTCTTGCTTTTCAATAGACTTCTGTATAATACTCGGACTCAAGAGCTTCACGAAACAAGAGCCAGGCTGCCTCCCAGAGAAAATTCGAATCCCAGTGAGATGTCAGTCTCTTCTTGAAGGCAGGAGGTCCAACTGTTTGGAAAGCAGGAACTTTTGAATATTAATACACTCATACAACAATGAATGATAGGCCTGCCAGTCTGTACTCTTTAGCAACTTGGTACCATCTAGATAGATTGATATTTGAAAGGTCTTTAATTGTAACAGAATGTACATATGACATTAGAACAATTAGACAAGTCCATTATCTCTTCTGGGGGTAGGAGGGCTTAAATGGTGTTAACCCAACTTCTGGAGGAAAGATAAGACAGTGCCACAGACAAAGCTTTTATACTTTTGAGTGAGTGCTATACTCAAGAAGTCCAGCATTTGCTGGCTATATGAGACACTGGATTCATCCAAAGAGTGTGCTGAATTTCATGAATAAGAAATCTTCCTAATTTATCTGCTTCATAAAAAACTTCTCTTTGACAGACTGAATCCTGCATTCCCATAGGGCTGGCTAAATAAGATTTACCGTGTGCACACAGCTGAACCTCAGGAAAGGAGGAAAATATCATAGGTCAGAGAGACAACTCTCGCTTTCAGTATCTTTACATAAAACCACATTTCCCATAGCAAGCTAAAAGCAGGGAGTAGGATTTCCTCAAATCAAGAAAGGTGGTAGAGATGTGATGAGCTTTGCAAAGTTCTTGAACAAAGATTAACATTAAGCAACCATAAAAATACAAATAAGGTAAAGCAACCTATCCAAGTCTGGGGTATGCAAAGTCTTCAGAGAAGACTGCCATCTTCTCTGTGGATAAAGTGATGCTCTCACTTTTGGCAAATTATTACAGAAGAACCATTTGGAAATTCTACTGAGCCAAGCTTAGATAAAGGCTTAGGTATGTTTACACCAAGCACTGCAGTGCCACATAGATGCCTGAGGTAGTTGTGAATGACTTGGGTATCTACACAGCACAGTGTCATGCAGAGATATTAGCTCACATCCCAGAAGGAATACAGCCACATTAGCGTGGCTCTGTGCCCGGGCTAATTAGGTGATGTTTCCCCAGTTGCCAGAAATCAAAGAGTGAATCATACATCTGCCAGCCTCCAACCTTCTTCTGAAAGCACAGGCTGGAACTATTTTGAACCTCTGTTATGGGAGAATGCAAGGTGAATATAAAGACATAATGACATCATTTCACTTTGTTTTAAAGACAGAAGGAATCATAAATTCATCTGATCTGGCCTGTTTTTTACAAATACTACACTTCATCCACTTACCATCGTGTCCAGCATATGAACTTCAGTCAGCCTAAAGCACTGAAGTCCTTTAGAGACTGAGCTATTCTATGTGTGCCACAGGCAGAGCCCAACCATAGGCTGTCAAAGCCAAGGCTACAGACATGGCAGACAACTGATTAGGTGGTAGTTGCCCAGATTATTTCAGCAGAAATCCACTCCTCATGGTCTGGAAGGTGAAGAATCCTATAGTCCTGCCCATTTGTTCCCAGCTCTGGCAATCAGGATGAATCTCAACATGTGAGCAAGACACATGAACCAATTATCTAGAAATGGGATTCTCTGTGATATCAAAACAACCGGCTCATTACAAAGAAGCCAACCTCTGGTGATGGCCAATCTCCAACAATCCAAAGAAAAAAGAACAAAAAAATACCTAAAAACAACCACTGGTAGGGTAGGGAGAAAACCTCCTGCCTGACCCCTACGAGCAAACCATAAAGGCCCTGAAGCATGATTTGAAGATGGTCATTGTCTTAATGCAGAGCCGCAAGTATTTCAAGGATGGTGCAGACAAATTACTCTGAACCCAACTATAAAGGAAGGAGTTGAAAAGGGGGGCTCATAAATCAACAGTATACGCCACCACACTTGACACACAGACATAGAATTTCTTCTCATGACTTGAATCAAGCGCCTCTTTTAAAATGATAAATTATCTCATCTTAAAGACTTGAAAAGCTGGTGATGGAAAAAGACTCCGACGTTTAATTACACTGAGAGCTGTGAAACTACTTTATTCCAAGGTGGAACTTTTCAAACTTCAGCTTCCAGCTACTGGAACTTGTTACGGCTTACCAGTGGTTGGGTTGTCAACCACACTATGAGGCATCTGCTCCTCACACAAGCACCTGTAAAGATTACTTGATCATAGTGTTATGTCTCTTCAACTAGTTGAACGTGTTTATTCACAGCACCAGGCCAGTTTTCTAGGCTCTATATCCTTTTTCTGTCCCTCCTTTGAATCCCCAGCAATATCTCTGTATAATTCCTGGTACGTCAACACAGAAACTGCGCAAAATGTTCTGAGATTTTACTGACTCTACATACAGAAAATAGCTTTCATACTCCTTACTAAGGCTTCCCTTTTCATATAGGTAGGGGTTGCAATAAATAGCCATTTTTGTCTTTGCATTGTGCTCTGGGCTCACTAGAAGACGCTTACCCACAACAGCCCCTCGATCCTTCTCAGAGTTACTGTTTCTCAGGATGGTATCACATTTTGAAGGTATATCATCTGCATTTTTTTGTTCCCAGATGTAGTAACAAGTGGCATAATTATGATAGCTGTTAAAATATTGAAATGAGTTACTGCGTGTAGTATTTCTGGGAAATGGTAGAAAGGATGATGTTTATTGAAACTATATAAACATGTAAAATGTTTTCTCAACACAGTTTCCCATTTATGTTTGCACAGATGTGTGTAATGTCATCACGAAGCCTCTTCCAAGAACGATAAATTAAATCAAAAGGTTTGAATAAGGCAAATAGCTAGAATGCTCTGCTGGTGCCTCTACACACCATCTCTTACCTCTTTTTGTTCCCTTTTTCTAATCACAAAAGATATTCACTGCCATTGAAAAATACAAAAAACAAACAACAATTTTTATGAAGGATAAAGGTCCTTGGCACAAATAAAATGACCAGCTCTGAAGCTGCGAAGAAATATGCTTTAATTTAAGAGACAAAAGATAGCATTACAGAAGAAATTGTCATAATCAAAGTTGAAAAAAAATCTTCTATTGTCTGCTGTGCCTCTCTGTGGGAATTTTCCCAGCACAGACAGCTGTAAAGGAGGAGGGGTATTGTGAGTTTCTGTACTCTCATTCCCTCTCTCCCTCTCTTTCTCTGTCAATAAATGTCTGCAATCATATTCTTGAGCTCCAGTGTGATTTCAAGGTTCATCTCTTCCATGCAGCTCAAACACTAATTATCCCAGCTGTAATTAGTAAGATAATTAAATACTGGTTCACTCATCACTCTACCTTGTGTCGGGTCATGATTCTCCCAGAAGACCTTGAGCAGTTTCTCAAAGCTGATGTTTTCTGGCTGATATACTACTCGTACAGCTTCTGTGTGGCCAGTTTTACCTTAAAAGACAAAATAAATTCAGATGTTATTAGTGAGAATTAGCTAGTGCATATCTAGTTTTTTATATCTGAGATTCAAAGCACAATCCTTTGGTTTCCTCTTTTTTTTTCTAAAGGTGTTTTGATTTACTGTCATTTACACTTAAGCCTTTTTACACAATAATTTATATACATGCCAGCTCTAAGATATCTGCTAGTTTCGACAAGGCCATCATGAAATAAACTATCCAGAGAGGCAATAAGGTAAGACAGTGATGTTATTACAGTAGTCTGTCAGCTCACAGGAAAAAAAAATGAAGAGTTCTTAAATATTTGTAACTGATAAATAGTAAAATATTTTAAAATATTCTAAATACAACATTAAAATATGAAAACTTGTATGTCTAAGTTATCCTGACAGTACAAAACTTCATTTCCGTGAGGCAAGATATGGATAAAATAATTGATTAGAAAAACAAATTTCAAGGGCATGTTTACACAAGATGACACAAATAATTTCAAACTGTTTCGCGTCATCCAAACCACTGATGCCAACGGGCTTCAAAAAGAGTCAAAGGGAGCCTGACTGAACTTCATGACAGCCGATGAAGTTCAAGGAAGATTAGCAGGTGTTACAGCACATTAAAACATATTATTCCTCCTTTTCAGTTACATTATGGGCATGATTTTATTTATTCCTTATGTGTCTAATCACTCACAATAATACTGAAAGATCCAGCTTCACAAAATGTGAAGGATCTGACCACTTCAGTTTTAACTAATTGATGAGTGCTCAGACATCTCAGGGTGAAAGCCCATTGCACTGAGTGTTACACAAGCATTTTATATTTTATAAATATTATATATTATATAATTTTCAATTTATAAATGTAGGCATATTATTGTCACAATACATGCATGAATGGGGAATAAAAACTTATCCTATTCTTCAGAGAAATCATAATAAGTACTTACTAAACAAAAGTAAACTGGACAGCCACATCTGCCTTTTGGTGAGGACGTAATAAGCTCCTTAATCACACTAGGCCAGGTTTTTATTTCATTTATACCAGCATAAACTTCAGATTTACTCATCTGACTTCAATAGGATTGCTGAATTTCATGCAGCGCAACAACCAGCTGAATCTGGCCCAGTGATGGGTTCTGAATTAGCGGTCACCACAAGAAAAATCAGAGTCTATCGGTAGCTGAGGAGTGTTCAGTGGAAACACCCATTCAGTACCAAGAGAAATTTTAATTTTAAAAAAATGTAGAAAGAAATAAAAAGGATGGTATGATATATTAAAGAGACATGGCAGGGAAAAGTATGACAGCATTATATCAGTTAATGGGGCACCTGAAATGAAGAAAACCTAAATGAGACACAGAGGGGTGGGCTAGCTATTAAAAGGAATTTGAAAGACTGGGACTAAATTTAGTCTAAAATGCAGAGGAGTAAAAGGGGACACATCTGGAACATCTGTAATCAAAATTTTGATAAAATCAAAGTGGTTCCTATCTAGTCTGCTTCACAATACAAAAAAGATACGCTCCCTGAGATTAAAAGACAAAAACGTACAAGTTTCACGTAACCTGTATCTAAACCCGTGTCATCCTGTCCACCAGGATACTATCCAGGCAAACGATGGCCCAATTCCTCTTTCACATGCACTACACCTATTGAAGGCCATGGAAGCAACTCATTATCTGAAGTCAAATTCTGATGGTAGGTTAGCAGAAAGGGATCATACATTAGTAGAATAAAAATACAAGTCACAGATAATTGGCTCAATAATAAAGTGAGATGGTCTTTCTATAATATGGCATGAACTGATGGCCATCTTAGGTCAGGGATGGATTTTATTCCAGATTTTACTGTTTAATATGGACTATCAGTGAAAATAATGGGGTTTGCCTTAGCTGAAGCCCAGGTCAGGAATTTTGTTGTTGCCTGAGATGAAGAACAAACGGGTAGTGGTTTGTCCAGCTCTCACAAGCCTACATCGTATAACTAAAAAGAGATTAAGGAGTGGCTTCTGACTTTAATTCTTTCCTTTTTTTAAGCCAAAATGAACCTTATGAAAGGTTCTTATCACTCAGGAGCAAATTGCTTGTCTAAGATGACTGGCTTTAGATCACAAGAGAGTTTCTTAAGCAACTTCAAAACAACGGAGGCATTACCTTTCCTCTCAATTGAAGCAGCAATTACATCTTGTCAACACTGTCTGCTCTGACTAATCCAGAAGTTCAAAGAATCAGCTTTCTTCTTTTCCTCTGAATAAGGAAATAATGGTGCTACTCTGAGAACTATAGCCTGACCTCGAGAAAAAAATCCTTAGATGTGTGGCTAACAGACTGTTAGAACCTAGAGCTTATTTAAAATCAATATTCATCCTCAGAGGAGAAGCAAGGAGGTAAGGCTGCTGGTCCTATCAAATTCACCTCTAATTTTCCTCAAAGCCTTTCTACAATCTAGTGGATTTTCTTTCAGAATACGATGTGGCTACTTCTTCTGTGTTCTCTTAGTCATTTATGGTGAGGACTCCTGATTGCCAACAATTTTAGTGGAAACTAGACCAATCAACTGGGTACACATGAGCAAACAGAGAAGTAAAAGGCTCCATGTGGGACAGATTAACCACAAGATTTCCTAGAAGCAGCACAGAGAGAAAATGGTACCAGGGGAGAGGAAAAGAGCAATCTCTCCGCAGGTGCAATGTGCCTCCCAAGAAGGAACCAAAAGCTACCATGAGGTTACCCTAGTAGCACATAGAAACTAGCAGCTCATCGGTGCTGAACATGACTCAGCTGCAGCCAAAGTGGCAAGAGGAACCTTAAATTGGGTTCTCCCTGTTGATCTTCTTATTTCACTTTTTGCATTAGGTTTAAGTTTGACTATGAAAACAGAATAATTGCATTCATGTTTGGGTTTCATGCATTTGGTACACTACAGCGCCAAAAGAACAGAGCAGGCATCAAACCAGCTAACCAGTCCTCTCTATTGTAAAAAAAAAAATCATTGAAATATTTCTAATCAAATCTTTTTTGTAAGACTTCTGAAAAAGGAGAGGCAGTAATCAAAGAGAAACAATAAACTCACTTGTTCTCAAAAAAGCTGTCTGTCTTTTAACGAGAAATTTAACAGGCTAACGCTGAACAGCTGAAATGATTTAAAAAGATCAGCGATAGCTGCTATTCTTTCAGTGACATTCAGCTCTTCACCTTAGTGTCTCCTTCAGAATTGCTCATGAAAGGTCCATTTATATTAAGTCAGAGAGTCACGGTGTCCTCAGTTCACCTATTGCTTTTAATTAGCTGATCTTTAATATTGCACAGTAAAAGCAAGCTTCACTTTAAGTTCTAAAAGTTTTAACAAGTATGAACATTTCTAGAAGCCTTCTCCCAAAAAAAGCTCAAAGTTTGAGCCATGTTTTTTAAATAATTTATTGAATTGCTAAATATAATTTCATTTGCTGTTAACAGTGCAAATAGAAATCCTTTATTTATAGGTGCCATTATCGGATTTCCAGTTATGGTGCTCAGTTCTCCTTCAGCTTTAGAAGGAGCTTAGCCATTGAAGAACCTCGCTGCAGATGATAAGGCTTTATTACACCGCGGCAGAGAGGGCTGTGTGCCAACAGCAGATTGTCTGTTTATCCTATATCCATTTCCCACTTAGAAAACATAGCCACTCTCAGAGGATTAGCTACAGTGAGTTCTTTCAGTGGGGATTCAAACTCTGGCAAAAATGTTCCTGTAAAGAGCAATAGAAAAAGACATCTGACTGACACCTCAGTGCTCCTTTTCAATTTTTTTCCTCCTAATAGTGTTTAGATTTTCACCTTCTTAATCATCTCCCAGGTGAGCACCCAAGCCGACAGATTATAGAAGTGAACTCTTTCTTTTTAACTTGCTGCAGCCAGTAAGCATTTAATTATTTCTGGCAAAGTGGAACAACTTCAAAGGGCTGGCTTGAGAGCACCTCACCTGCGGATACCCAGCCACCCAGCAGCTACGGCGCTGGTAGATGACCCGTGGGCTTCATCTCTGGCTCGTCCAACCCTGGGTGAATTCAGTTATAAAATTCAAGCAACGCCAAAACTTTTCCCTCCTGACCCACTTCTTCAATAAAAAGGGACTTGCCTCTCGTTACCCACTGAAATAAAGGGCCTAAATCCAGTCAAAGTCTAAATATAATTTAAAGAAATAGGTGGCAGATCTTCAGCTGGTGAGGCCGCCCCTCGAATGCTGTGCTCAGCGCTGGGCCCCTCACCCCAAGGCGGCCATGGAGGGGCTGGAGCGTGGCCAGAGCAGGGCAGCGAGGCTGGGGCAGGGGCTGGAGCCCAAGGCTGGGGAGGAGCGGCTGGGGGAGCTGGGGGGGCTCAGCCTGGAGAAGAGGAGGCTGAGGGGAGCCCTCATCGCTCTCTGCAACTGCCTGAA